GTCTTCATTTGTTAATGTTGTTAATGAGCACAGAAAGAAGTGAGCTGATTACTTCGAGAAGATCTGAAGAAGAAAATGGGGAAAAAGTGCATAAAGGACATCATCATCGACAAGATCCTCAGCAGCTTTCTCTCTTTCTCTCCGCCCACTTCCTTCCTCGCCACTTTCAGCTGCTGAAGGACATGCTACGGCTAAACGAGCAGATCATCTCTCGGGTGCTCTTCTTTCTGCTGACCAGTCAACTGGGCTTTAACCTGTACATGGTCACCTGTCTGGCGATAAAGAGCTTCCTGTCCGCCTTTGAGCGGACTTTCCTCTTCGCCCTCACCGCGTTGCAGTCCTCGACTATGATGGTAGTTCTAAGGCCAATGTTCGCCGCCCAACGGGTGATGCACAGTCCGGCAAAGTTGCTCTACAAATCAGTGGAGTGTTTGAGTTCTGAGAGTTCTAGAAGTTCTTCTTCTTTTGTTTCCTGTTCTCAATTCAACCTCCATTTAAAACTGAAGCTCTCCACGTACTACGAGGTGCTCACCGGGCAGGAGGTGTTTGCTTTCACTGTCGGTCCGCTGGGGAAGATCACCTCAAATGGGCTGTTTCAGGTATTTCCGGTTTAGTGATAATGAAAAAAAGAAGTTTTATAACGTTTTATTTTTCTTTTAGTTTGTCTGTGTGTACTGTGCCTATCTACTTTTTTCCTTCAATCTGATTTTAAAAAGTTAGAAATTACTTTTAGTTGAGTTGCAGTTTGTTTTTTGTTATTTTTGTAACAGTTTTTACCTTTTCATAAAAACTCAATAAAGACAATATTTCATCGTTTTGACGTGTATGTTTTTTATTATGATAATAAACGTAATTTTTAAATACACAACTGTATTTTTGCATACTCGCAATGTAAAATGACGCAGTTTGCAGGAACTAAACAATAAAAAAATATAAGTATTCTAATGTTTAGTTTGGCGAAGTTGTTGCTTAGGTCGATGAGGTGTTTGGATTGGTTTGAAAATTCACAGTCCGACCATCATTTAAAATGGAAGGTGCTAATGAGCCATGAAATGCTAACCAGTGGTAATCAAAGTTTGCTGGCCTTCAGTGTTGGGCCAATTATTAAGGTGACCAAAAGTGCCTTTTTTCAGGTACAAACATTTAATTAAAAAATAGTAGCATTTTTTAACAATTTAAAAATTTATTTTTTAGTTTTTCTTTATTCACGGTGCATATTTGATCTTTTCCTTAAAGCTCATTTTTGATTACTCAAATTGAAAAAAGTAGTATTTTTTGTAATGCAAAAAATTAAAAAAAAATTTTATTAATCTTTCACTTTACATAATTCAATTGATCAGGTCAATCAAACTTGGGCCAACACTATATATTTTGTGCTGTCACTTTTGCTAAAATTGAGTCACGGCCATTATCATTTTAAACCCTCTTATTTAAAAAATTAAGTTAATTTTTGGTACACTCTCAAGTGCTCATATTGTATCGTTTATACAAAAGGTCTTTTAACCTTAAAACTTTGCATAATTAGATAGCAAAACTTTACAGTCCAATTTATCAATCAAAAAAGCACTTGAGATAAAAGAGATGTTGAGAGAGGATTCACCTAAGTAATGCTAGCCCTTTGTTGTGTGATAACTTTAAGTAAGAAGCAGGTTGTTCTACTGGCAACAATTATTTGTTGAGATTGCATCTTTTTGGGGCACCAGTCCCAGCAATGACCGGGTATAATTACAAAAAATGGGCAACTTACAAAAAAAACAGCAATTTTTTGGGTATATAAACTCCAACCGTCGAGCTTCAGAGAGTCATCCGTTGTCCAACAACCAGCAGTCTTCCTTAACTAACAAAAAACCTCAATTTAAAAAACCCAACTCAAAATGAAGTTCCTCATCGTTCTCTCCGCTCTGGTGGCCATCGCCGCCGCCGGCCAGGTCAAGTTCCACGACTGTGGTAATTAGCCAGAAAAAAATTTAAATTTTCAAAACTAAGTTTTTTTCTTCTGCTTTCACAGGAAAGGGCGAGGTGTCGAGCGTCTCCGTGGACGGCTGCTCCGGCGACTCCTGCGTCATCTACAAGTCGAAGCCGGTGCACGTCCTCGCGGAGTTCACCGCCAACCAGGACACCGCCAAGGCGACGATGCAGGTGACGGGCACGCTGAACGGCCTTGAAGTGCCGATCCCCGGCGTCGAGACCGACGGCTGCAAGGTCGTGAAGTGTCCCCTGAAGAAGGGCACCAAGTACACCTTCGACTACACTTTCCACATTCCCTCGGTGGTGCCGACCATCAAGTCGACGCTCACCCTCAAGGCCAGCGGAGAGCACGGTCCGCTCGCCTGCGGCTCCGTCAGCGGCGAGCTGAAGCCTTAAGCGTTAGTTAATTTTTGATCCAAAAAAATGAGAATGATTTGGATGAATGTTCTAAACGCAAAACAACTCTGACGTTTTTTAATAATTAAACTTAAATTAAGATTTAAAATTTTCAACTTGTGTCTCTAAATTACTACAACATATTTTTACATATTTTCTCTACAAGTGCAGAAGATAAACATAGACCTATTGGTGTTATTGACGTTTGAATATGACCAAAAACAACATGGTATTGTAGGTGATTGACTGAATTAAAAGATAAATGTCAGATGTAGTTAGAAATTAGGTTTAACAGTATACCATGTAAAATGTCTTTGAGGTGATGCGGTAGTCATCCAACAGGTGCATACAGTACGGTTTCAGACGATGGCTTCTTTGAAGCCATTCAGCCTGCAAAAAATAAAATTTTTTAACAAAGTAAAAGCAAAATAGGTTTAACTTTTAAAAATACCTTTAAAAGCTCCTTCAAATTAAGCACAGCACCCGTTGAGGAGCGCTTTTTTAGGTAAAATTGTGAAAAGTGGAAGCTCAGCATTCGGTTCGCCTTCTCAATGGCGCTATTGGTTCTGGTTACCTTAGCCGCGATATTAATGAGCAAATATTGAAACAATCCGATCTCTACAATGGCGTAGAGGAAAATGAAAA